GAGAAATTGAATTAAAGAAGGTACTTAATTTAATATTTTTATTTAGTTCATGGTTTGGAATCTATAATGTCATGATTGCTTGTAGGCTTTCAAAACTAGCCATGAATATTTACCTATCTCATCCTTCTTTTTTAGAAAAATCAGAACAGAGATACGCAAATTGCTGTAATGCTATAGTGGTTATTACGCTCTGCAAACTTCAAAATATATGTAATGAATCAACAGCTTTATTCCATGTAATATTAGCTGAACCTTCTTCCTTGTCATATTCCATTTCTTTTGCCCATTCTAGACTTTTTCCACAACTAGTACTTTTACAATTTCTTTTCACTTAAAAATTTCATCTTTGGACAGTTTGATTAGTGGAATGTTTTATATAACACTGACTGTGTTTAATAGTACAATACTATGAATATTTTAACGTTCTCCAAAAGAATTTTGTTTCATAACATTCAACCACAATGGCACTGGGCAAGCAGCTGTTAAGCACATTAAATGTACTAAGTAAAAAAAGTTAAAAAAAAAAAGATTTGGGGAAAAATCAAAGTTTTCAAAGAATTTGGAGTGATATGACAGTTTAAAAAGTAATGAAAAATTTCTTTTAAATAATTCATGAATATTAATTTTTTGGCTAAAAATCTTAATTTAATAAAAGTGTATTAGCTTTTCACGCACAATAGAGCCTCAATTTACGATTCTAACTTATACTATTTGAAGTTTTTGACTCTGAAGGAAGTTAAATATATACATAATGTTATTTATTAATGTATTCATTTGTCCCTCCCCCTGTTAATGTTTATAAATTAAATTCTAGTGCAGCATTTCCTGCATGAATTATTTGAAAAAAAAAAAAAAAAGTCTGAAATGAAGTATGTAAGAGGGCTGTTCAGAAAGTATCAAGACTGAATTTATTATGCAAAACACGTTTTGAGTCAATCTCCTACGAAATATGCTCCACTGGCAGTAACGCTACGAAATATGCTCCACGCAGAGAATTAATGGTCCAACGATGTTTCCAGTCCTCGAAACATTTCTGGAACTCCGACTTTGGGATGGCCTGAAGCTGCTGCATCGAATTTTGTTTTATAGTCTCAATGTCCTGAAACCGGTGTCCTTTTAAGGTGCTCTTGATCTTGGGAAAGAGGAAGAAATCTGGAGGTGACTTTGAAACAAATTAGATGAGATTGCAAGTTATTGGAATTGCTGATCCTCAGTGAGGAGCTTTGCAGTCCTTTCTCAAAATTTCATCACATGATTGTATGGAAACGCCGCACTCCTAGGCAGTTTCTCAGACTGTTAAACGACGATCAGAGCGCACCACAGCCTGCACTTGTGCAATCTTGTCCTCATTGCGAGCGGTGGACAAGCGTCCAGATGGAGATTGCTGTCCACTGATTTCCGACCCTCCTTGAATCGCCGGAACCACTCGAAAACCCAAGCACGACTCATCACCTCATCTCCAAATGCTGTTTTCATCATCTCGTAGGTTTTGGTGCCCGTTTTACCAAGTTTAAAGCAAAAGTTGATCGGATTCGCTGCTCCGTGTTTTACACATTTTCTCTTTTCGACGAACGCACGCAAACACTCCACCATGAAAGAAGTCAGTGTGACTGAACGGCGTGCTGTACAGACTTGTCGGTTTTTGTGAAACGAGGTGAAACATGCGCGTGCATAATGCGTACAGTCAACCCGCTAGGGGTTTTCTGGAATAAATAGAATAAATTCAGTCTCGATACTTTCTAAACAGCCCTCATATTTATTATTTGTGTTATTGTCTCTTTGGTTAATATATTTGATGATATAGTAATGCAGCTATGCTTTGCTCACAAGGCTCAGCTCATTATTTCCAAATATCAGTTTTTTGAAAAGTGCAATAAATGTATTTCTGCTAATTTTCAGACTGGGTATACAAAAAGATAAGGAAAATGAAAATGTGATGGCTTTGAGAGTTACATCTTTTTCAAGTGCAATGTGGAACTTAGGTAAATAGTAAATTCAATTTAAATCTTTAAATGTCAATTTTCATATCAGGCAAAAGGAGCAAATTAACCTAAGGAGCAAAGTATGATGTATGACTTTTTGTTAAAAAGTATTTTTTAACCCTTTGAGCACCATGGCCGGCTTTATTCGGTTATGAGATTTTTTGTTACTTGGTATATACTAGCTTATAATTTCAGGCATTTTGCTTTCTCCCTTTCATTAATAATATAAATGTCATCTTAATGAATGAAAGTTTATGAAAACAGAGACTAAAATAGGCACAAATTTAACTAATAAAGGCTCTTTAGATACAGATCCAAAAATCCAGGCCACGCAGAGGATTAATGTAATGCATTTATATTAAAGGTAATAAATGTTTACTATCAATGAGTAATATTTTCTTGCATTCAACTGTTTCCTTCTTTATTCTACTGAATGACATATCAAAATTCTGAATAAATATATTAATATGCCTGAATAAATATATTAGTTATAAATATTTGATTAAATACATGCCAGAAATGTTTCCCTCAATTGCATATTCAGTTCTTTTTTTTTTTTTTTTTTTTTTTTTTTTTCAAATATAAACTTAAACATTTTTAACATAAAAAATCAAACACAAATACACAATACTGCATGTTAGAGATCTGTTTTTATTTGTGAAAGAAATTAATCTTAGACCATGCTGGACTTCCATGCTAAGCAGCAAAAGCTCTCATAAATTATTACATTAAAAACATAATTTTTCTCGCTCATTTATAAATATTTATACAATATACAAATATTAAAAACCAATTAGGATTCATCTAATATTTAAATATATTACCCAATTTTTAAAACTAATCCATAAAATGATGATCTAAATTTTCACTTAATTTAAGATGAAGTTAAAACAATTCACACTATTCACAAAATAAAAATATTCAGTGATAAAAATATATACCCTGCATGCTACCATATTTCTTCAATACTGTCATCCCATTGCAAGAGAACAAACAGCTTTTACCAAACGGAAGGAAAAAAATGCATTCAAAGAAAATTATAAATAAAATTAAATACTAACATATATCTAACAATATTTTCATTATAACAGAACTTGATTTAATAATAACAGTATTAGTCTTTTATCAATGGATATATTAGTTATTACTTCTTCCTGAACCAGTACCATAATCTCATTCTTTTGAGATGTTTGTATTTAATATCAGAAAATAATTACAATCTTAATTAGTCTTTAACATTAATTCCCTATAAAATATTGTCTCCTAAGCCACTGATAATGATGAAAATATGAAAATTTTCTTATAATGAATTAAAAAAAAAACTGGAAGCTGAGTGCAAAGTACCCCTTTGAAGATACAATCCATTTTTAGAAAAATTTGCTTGAAAAAAATTGCATCTTTAAGAATATTTCTCACATTTATAAAATATAATCCAGAATAAAATGAATTCTAGTACAGGGATATCAAATCAATTGGAACACTTAAAATTTTTAAGATGGTAAAACACGAAATTATGAATAATGGCATGGCAAGAAGTGAAGGAAAGGAATTAAGGATGTTCATCTAATAATATATTAAATATAATTGGAAGAATAAAACGCCAGTTTTTCATTCAGAAATATGTACAAAAATTTGCATTTTGAATGAGATCATGGTGGCATCAAGTCTCCCAAGCAATTTAAATGCATATATTCTTAGGTAACACTTATATCTATTGCCTATGTATAAAATATTCAGCATAGTACCATTTAATATACTTTTGAGGAAATTATATGAATCTAAAGGTTAAGGAGTATAAAATGATCACTAATATTAATTAAATGAAATACAAAAGTTATTCCCTTTGCAATTTTTTTCTTCAGAATGTTATAATAAAATATTAACAAATATTCTTATGAGACAAAAAACAATCTAAAACATTTTATCTAATAACTTTCCTCTTGAGACAAACATTTTATATATCAAATTAATGATGTAATTAATGCATCCTAGTACAAATATGTTTGTAAAATTCCAAAAATATATATTATCATTTATAGCTATATTTATTGTATTTGATATAATAATCAGATACTCAACTTTCTAAAATTTACATGTATGGCCTTTAAGGAGAATTTAATCATTATTTTTATCTCTCACAAAAAGTTTAAATAATACCTCTGTACAAAAAAATGGAAAATTTGCAAAAGATTTCATTTCAATATTTAATATATAACAGGAATTTAAAAATGTATTACACACCTTGAAGAGGTATTGTTTTTTTGCCCTGTGAAAATTAAAAGTACTGCCACTTGAAGAAAATAATTATTACAAGCTTCATGCGAAAGCAGTCTTATAAAATGAATGCACAACTGCATGATGAACATATTAAAGAAACTTAAAAATCTTCATAGAGGCATTAATTTACAATGAAATAATATTAAAATCTACTTTGTCACCTAACAGTTTACAATGATACTTTTACAGCTTGTTTTAAATGTACGATTTTATGTTCTATATCCTGAATTCCTAGGAAATTAATTCAAAAACTAACAGGTTAACTGTAATAGCTTAGCTTAAAACTGTTTTAGGCACTGAACTGAAATTTGCATATAAAATTTTGAATGAAAACAAAATAAATAAATAAATAAAAATAAAAAAATCATAATTTCAATTTTATTAAAATTTAATAATTAATTTTGAAACTTTAATGGTAAACTTTTCAAGAGTTTCACTTTAATCTGAAACTGATTGAAGTTTTTAAAAAGTAGTTTTATTTATTTTGATCATATTTGATATACAATTATATTCAAACGTTTTTAAAACCATAATAGTAAACTCTTTAAGGAATTAGATTGTAATCTGAAATTATCAGTTTAACACTTCTTAAAAACACTCTACTTATTAAGATGAAAGATATACATAAGTTTTATGTTTCATCATTTTACAATTTAATTAGCATAATACTTTTAGTTTTTAATGATAGTTATTCAAGATTTGTATTTTTATATTATTTATTATCAAAAACAAACCTCCATGTTTGACTTCAAATGCCACCACTTCATATTTATTACATGCTTTTGCTTGCTTGAGTATGTAAATATACTTACCAAAGTGGACAAAAATATTTACGTCATTCACATAAAAAAGATGAGATAAAATGATATGGCTGGTGCAACAATAAATACTTAACATTAAAAGTTGTTATAGTATGGCAGTGCACAATATAAAGCTGCAGGTGCGGACGGCATTGTGAAGCTACCAGCCTATCACAGACAAATCTTGTGAAAACTAAATTATGTGCTATCTTCATTCACCAATGAATTGCATTAGTTCTGACTAGGTTTTGAAAAATATAAACAAACACTATTTCTTTTTAATATTCTTGCACACCCAATCCAATCCTTCCTATAAAGAAAAACATTTTTAAACAATCTTAAAATACTGTTTTATATCAAAGCATACATTCCATAAAAAGAAATACATAGTTTTATATGTATATATAATATAATAACAGAGTAGGCTGAAACAATTCAAAGAATAATAACTTGAACACTTTAATTGAAAACTAAATAATAACTATGTAAACATTTTTAAAAAACACAGAAAAGCATTTCATTTTCAAATCTCTTTTGAAGATAACATCACTTCAATCACCTTCACTGGGGCTAAGGCATACCTCTGCATGTCTAATGTTATCTATAACTTTTCTCAGCAAATTCCTTGGGTTAGCATGAATTTCGTCTTGGATGTAATTTTTCAGTTTCTGTATAGAGCGACACTGATGAGTATAAACCTTATCCTTAAAACAGCCCCACAAGGGGGAAAAAATGCATGCTGCTTAAATCAGGCAAGCATACAGACAGTATGTCAATAATTTTATACATGCAATTAAATCATGATTTTAATTAAAAGATTTAAAAAAAATCACTAATTAAACATCCTTAATTTTTCTAAATGATAGGAAACATGTTAAAATCTAAACTTGATAATCTGGAAAATAAAAATATCTGTATGATAAAAGATAAATTTGAACAGGAACAAAACACCCTTAAGGTGTACCGTATCCCGTTGGTTGGCCAAGTTCAGCAGTGGAGTGGAGACCATAGCCAAAGGTACCAGTGCAGGACGACCAGCAACACTGCATGCAGCAGTATATGTGGCAGCCGTGTTCGATTTGATCATGGTGAATAGACACATAACATTTAACAAGATGCAGGAAGAGAAAAGGTTTGCACAAGGAACATTGCAGGTGACTGTGCATGGTGATTTGGAGATGACAAATGTGTATGCAAAGTGGGTGGACCTTGGACTACGCCTTGCCTGACAACATGAAGGACGCAGTCAGAGGTCAACATGTTTAATCTTCTATCGAACTGTATCCAATTGTCCATAGGTGGTGCACCACCAACACCCCCACAGACTGGTTTACAAAAGCCCTTCAGGATCTCCCAGCCAGATCGCGGAAGTGTATTGACATGGGCGGAGATTACCGTATTTGACGGCATATAAGACACACTCGCAGATAAGATGCACCCTTATTTAGAAGGCCACACACATGTAGATGTAGAAAAAGTTATGTGTGTCTAGACCTTTATCCGGGCTAAAAATAGCATTCAGTATTGAAAGTTAACTTGTGTTCTTCACGTATAAGACGCAGGTAACTTTTTTGAGATCAAATTTAAGAAAAAAAGTGTGTCTTATATGCCGTCAAATACGGTATTTATAACTAATGTATTATTAGTTTTTTGTTAATAAATTGTATTCCGCTCTGTAGCAGCATTTGTGCATTCATTTCTGTATGACCTAAATAGTTTTTGCCAGTTCATCTCTATCATAAGCTAGAGTTACAGGTGCAGCATAAGGACTAAAGGAAGATTTTATGATACCAGCATTTAATAGTTCATCTATTTGTTTTTTAATTTCACTATCATCTTTAGGAGAGGCTCTATTATCTCTTTTGAGAGGCTAAAGGTAATTCTGAAGTTAAGATTACTTTGGAGGTTCCAAATTAATACAACCCTGATCTGATTTGGGAAATCAGAATACTGTTCAGAACAGGAGAGAGTATTTGAAAATACTGGTGAAGGAATTAGGCAATGAAGAAGTTGTTAGGTGCATGACTAAACCCAATTTATCGAAGGATTTGCAAATGAAACTTCAAACCTACAGACCAACTGCTGAAGAAGGAAAAAAAAATGCAAAGGTTCCCAATAACCAAAATAAATGCAAAAGGTGCTCTACATGTCAAACAAATAAGAAAAGTAGACTGATCCAATATTCTTGCATAAAATGTGCTGAATATTTTTGTTTAGAACATGCAGTAATGATGTGTCAGAAACGTTCAAATGAAAACCAAACTTAAATTTAGAATTGAATTAAAGTATAACTGATTTATTTTGTCATTTTATATTATGTATTTTTATGTGATATCAATTATTTGTGAACAACTGCCATACTTAATTTTTTTTTTCAACTGTATTAACATGTTTGATTGTGTGTGTTTTTAAAAGGCATTTTAACCTGTGTAATAGTGATTGTAAATAATAAATAAAAACATTAAAAAATTAAAAAAAAATAAAGAAAGGTTTGGATGTAAAAGCCTGGATCAAAAAAGAATAAAAGTAGAAGATTTAAAGTAATACAGATCACCAGAAAACATGCAAAATAGAAATGTATCTGACAGATACAGTGCACCCGATGGCGCAAGTTTCAATACGCGCCCGACGGAGTGCTGAAACTTCAGAATAATTTGAATAGCGCTTTCGAAAATTATATAAAAAGTAAGCAATTTTTCTTTTATATTTTCATGTAAATGAAAGAAAAAAGATTATTAAATGTTAATTTTAATGTATATGATAGCTTAAGAAACAATATAAAAAGATACAAAAATTAGGTCGTTAGGTTTTTTTTTTCCCCTCTACAGTTAGGCTCAGCAACACAAAACCCCCGTCCTGTGAGATGATTCCTTTTGACTTCCATCTGTCCTGAGAGAACGTATTAAACAAAGGCACACCATCCTGGAAGGGTTACAGAAGTAGGGCCCAATCACACCAAATGCCTAGCACCAAATCACACTGCAACTTTTTCACTGTGCAGTGGCTTCTGATGAAACACGCATAGATTCTCTGCTGTCCAATATCTGAAGTTCTCCTCATTGATGTATCTGTTTAGATGAGAATGAATTTTCTTGGGCAATATCATGCAATCCAGGAATCGTAGCATTTCTTTTTAATAATTTGCAATAGTGTCCTGCAGAATTTCTTCCACTGATTCAAACCATGGGAAAGTATTTGACTTTTAAAAGGATAGAGCTTTGAATCCTCACACAAAATGTGTTCAATAATTTTAGGGATTAAGTGTAATCCAATGATCAGAACAACGAAAACTACACTGAAAAGCTGTATCTGCACATTATTTTTTTATGTTTCCAGTGTTCGATAGTGACCATGAGGTTTTTTTGTTGGAATGGGTGCACTAGACTTAAATTATGAGACCCAATTCATTATCATTTAGTGTGTTAGAACCTTTCTGTTTTTGGGTGGTAGAGATAAGTATTCAAATTATGACTCAGTTAGTATTTAAATATTTATTTATTTACCAGTAAAATATATCTAAGTACAGGAAAGAAACTTATCATGATGATACAAATTCAAAAGTTAAAAACATAATAATTGTTGTTCCTAGCTTATAGTAACTATGGCAACTTGCTATGTGATGAATCTAACTGTTGCCACAATGGTCCCTTTCCAGTTCAGAGGACGATCTAAGAAGCTTGGTATGGTTGAACAATTTTTAAGCATCTGCCAGACTTAGTGAAAGTTGGGAACGTTTGGTTTACTCTAGAATCAGGTTCAGACTCTTTGCTGTTACTTACATGATTTTTTTCTCGAGAGTCTACTAGTATGTATGCAGGCTTTCAGTAATCTACGGATACTGTAGATTTATTGCCATTTATATCTATTGTAAAAAAAAATTCAGTCCTAGCTAATACTTTGAATGGTCTCTGGTATGGTTGCTTTAATAGTTTTCGCACAGTGTCTCGTCTAAGGAAAACATGCGAGCTTGTAATCCTTATGAATGAATATGTTGCGAAGCAGGAGATGATAAGTTGCATCTGTTGGCGAAGACTGTCAACAAATTCTTTTGCAGGAACTACATTTGAAAAAGAATTACGAAAAAATTCTCCTGGAAGTTTCAAGCAAGTTCCATAGACCATTTCAGCTGGTAAAAATTCAATATATTCTTTAATGCATGACTTCATTCCAGCAAAACTGATGGCAACACTTCACTCTATCTAACTGTTGCATGACATTTAATGGATGCTTTTAGTTATCGATGCATGTGTTCTACAATACTGTTTGAAATTGAATGAAAGGCAGTAGTTCTTGTTTTGTGAGTTCCTAGGAAAATTGCGAGTGATCTAATTAATACACTTTCGAAGTTGGTACCACGATCAGTCATCATGGTATCAGGTACTCCAAATCTAGCAATCCATCCAGAGAAAAAAGGTCTCAGCTACAGTTTCAGTAGTTTGGCTAGGCACTGGAAAAGCTTCTGGCTGAATAGTGAATCTGTCTATACAAGTTAAAATGTATGTGTAGCCTTTTGATAGTGGAAGTGGGCTGATTATATCTATACATATATGGCTGAACCTAACTTAAGGTAATGAATATGTACCAAGAGTATTTTTAGTGTGTTGATGAATTTTAGATTTTTGGCACATTAACCCTTTGATGGTTAGGGAAATGAGCAGTTTTCATTTACTTAACTCTTTCGCATCGAGAGACGACCAAATCTGTTTTCAACAAACATCGAAAATGCCCGTGTTTACGAATTTGTCTTGGAATAGTTTTCCTTTCCCCCTTTTGCGGTTTCATCCATTCATCCATTGTGCGCAGTTTCACCTTAGGGCCGGATTGCACCTGCGAACGTCAATAGCTTTCCATATTTCTCCTTTATTTGCTTCAAAAGAATGATTGACATGTCTTTTAACAACTCGCGAAACCAATGAGCCATACACTAACGTGGAGGGGAAAGAACTAGGTAGAAAATAAACGAGGCGTTGGGGCGGTTTGCCGTTGCCTGAATGAACGGGCGCTACGGGCGATTTCGATGCCAAAGAGTTAATTCACGAATAATTATGAGTAAACAGAAGTAAAAAAGTGGCAGCTGTTTTTCCCCGCCGTTCTTCCGAAAATGTCACCCTTCTCTGGTGATGCCGTAGATAGCTCGCCTCACGGTTTTAAAAATTTCTTAAAGTATTTGTAGTACATAAATAACAGTTTTTATGTACTTTAAAATAATTAATAAATGATAAATATTAAATAGTAAATTATAAATGATTATAATCAATTATATAAATAATAATAGTAAATTATAAATATAAGACAAATATTAAATTGAAA